AGGCAGCGCCCGACGGGCTCAATCAATGACGAACAAACACAATCCCTTTTTTTGCAAATATCAGTCAATGATCATCAAAAGTTGACCATTTGTTTTGCTTTTCAGCTGCGTTCAATGTGCATTGATTCGCCTCTTCCCCTCTAATCAACCAACCCATGGACGAAGCGTTCAGCCAACACACACACCACTGAAGCACCTGGTGATCCCGTGATGCCCACCATTGAACGACCTGCTTTTAACGACCACCCGTGATGACCAACGCCGCGATCTCACCAAGAGATCGCCCTTTTTGGAGCCTGAGTGACCTTGGTTTTGACAGGAAAAGACAATCTTTTGGATAGTTGATCCTCCAAAATAGAGGTCACTCAGGCTCTAGGGCCACCACCACCCCCCTGGCAGCCACCAAACATCACCAAACCCACCCGCTGTGCAGTCTGGTCGCTTTTCAACCGCTTTCCCTCCACAGGCCTCCATGAGTTCCCGGTGCAGGACGAGCAATCGATCGGCCAAGAACTGCACGCCACCATCCAGGGTCACTGGCGTTCGCGCGTGTGGCGGGTGGCGTTCGCGTGGCGCGTGGCGCGTGGCGGAGGGCGTTCTCGTAGTGTTTGGGGTGGTTTTTTTTAGGGTCCTCGGGCTCCAACCGCATGCTCAGAAGGTGATTGGAGTGGGTGCCAGGGGGCCAGTCCCTACCTTCTTTTCGGATGTGGGCCGTTCTAGGAGTATGAAGAGGTACAGTGAGACTGTTTTGATAGAACGCGGTTTGTTGAGAGGTTGAAGCTTGAAGAAGTTCAGGAGACTTCAGTTGGAGTGACCTAGAGCAAACATGACCTCTGTTTTGATAGGAAGTCGGACCAAGCTGTGTTTGGGGTGGTTGGTGGTCCATGGTGCTCCAAAATAGAGGTCAAATGGTTCCATGATATTCCATATAAATTCCTATAAATTCCTCGGGGAATCTGGGCTGAAAACAACTCTTTACAGTGTCTGACATCTGATGTAAGTCTGAACATTAACAAATCCTCCATGAACACCAGATATGGACCGAGTAGAACGCGCTCCGCACCTCGGTGCCGCTCCGAAACGACAAGCACCGTGCGCCTCGCAGCTCATGTAGCTGGTCACCATCTGAGGATCCCTCGAGAAGTCCCTGAAGGTGAGAAACTCTGGCAGGGTGCCACACAGGTTCTCTTGCATTTGAGCGACGAACCGGGAAAAGGGGCCCAAACCTATTTGGGGAAAAGCCTCCCTATGCTGGATGGTCCAACGACTATAAGCAATTCTTTTTGGGTGATTGACAATGCAAGAACCTTCCGTGCAAACTGCCGCACATCAGCGCAAACAGCAAAACGACCCACAAATTAGCCCAACACACACGCAGAAAACGTGCAAACAACTTCAAACATCCACAATCACAAAACAACCAAAACGATCAAAACAAAAACAACAATTTTCTGGTAGTTGGAAGGTCCAGCGTAGGGAACATAAAAGAATCACCTTAAGTCAAACCATGCTATATAGGTACCCCAAGTTGGATGCTTTACACAGAGATATGCCCTCAAGCCCTGATGGAAGTGAAGCAACTCTTGTGATCCAAATGGCGGGAATTCAGAGTCTGATTTGCAGGCGGCCTGAGACTACATCCACCCTCCGCGTTCGGGGATGCTTTGGGGGGTTCGATGGATCGGGTCAGTGATCCTCATCCAATCGATCCACTGAAACACCCACCTGTCTGGGAGCAACTCCTCGTTCAGCCTCCGCCTGGTGCGAGAGCGTTGCACAAAGCAGCCCAGCCCCGAGCGAGACCCCAAGAATTGTCAGGGGGTCTGGGGTCGTAACCAATCGCCAACCCAAAGGTTCACGAAAAAAACTCAAATGTGGCCGACTGGTACTGGTGTTTGGTCAATAGGGAGTAATTCTTTGCCTACATGCCAAGTAGGAACATCTCCTGGTTTCATGAGCTGAGGAATAGGTTTCATGTGTTTCATGAGCTGATCAACCATTAGACGATTGGGCCAGTTTCTGCTTCATGAGAGCAAGCATCACGATTGCCCCATGCTTGCTCACGCTGAACAAAAACTGTACTCCTCTCATCTCCTCTCTACCAATCCTTTGCCTGAGGAACTTCCAAAAAAGAACATTCATCAAGCTTGGATTTGCTTGATGAACCAGGAAATTCTCCAGAAGAGGATTCACCAATAGGGAAAATAAACAATCACCTTGAGCAAAAGTAGGCAAGTCATGCTCAAAAGGAATAAATGCCTGAACAAATGCCTGAACTTGGGAACCCCTACCACCAAGGACTGCGCAGTGTTCGAACCCTTCTTTCTTCAGAATGACCATAAAAGGGGCTAGTTGTTGTACAATTTGGTACCACCAATGCCGAACACCCTGCGAGTAGTTGGGGCCACATCATTCTTCCCAAATTCACAGCTCGAGCATCGTCTTCCTTCAGATCAGCCTTTTGAAAGTTCTAGGGAGGGCCTTGATCTGCAAAGCAATACCAAAAACCCACACACACATACATTACATACCCCCCCCAACAAAAAAACATGCAAAATCTTTTCTGGGCAAACGGTGAAGCAGCACACACACCACCATTCGCCCCCCCTTCCCCTTCGCCGCTCCGCTCCGCGCCTCGGCGCGGCGGCGCAGGGCGTCCGTCATGAGTTCGCAGCGGCCTGCGATGGTGGTCAGGTCCGCCTGGACCATCTTCCTGGCCAAGGAAGTGCGGTGTGCGGAACCGACCCGGCCGATGCGCGACAGGGTCTCCAGGGTCGGCCCGCGGCTCTGGCGGTCGGTTGTTCGGGCGGGCGAAACACCGGCGGGCGGGCGAGGTTCAGCACCTGATTGGCGGTGAAACACATGGTGAAGCGCTCTTCTCGCACCCATGCCCCCATGGTGGGACAACACAGGTGAAGAACTTGTCTGATAGTTCCGGGATGCTGTTGACGTGAGTCCGTTCGCTTCGAGAAGTGGCACTTGCAACATCGAAAAGATGCCCCGAAGGTCCGCAGGAATGACCAAGGCTGCCCAAGGGTCGCACCGTGGTGAATCATACCAGCACCCTCCAACAGGTCACCAATTGAGACCTGTTAGGGTCCAACAACCCTCAACTAACAGCCTGGCCAGGAGGGTGCTGGTATATAATTCAATATATAATGTGTTTGGTTTCGTTTGCAGAAGATCCAGAACCGGTGGATATGTGTATATAGCTCCTGGATCCAACTCAGGAAAAGCTAAGCCAGGTGATGACCTCCAACCTTATGGCGATGGCCTTGATTTTATGTCTCTTTTATCCACCTCTTGTGCGCAACAGTACCATTACATCTTATCCCTATGCTTCTCAGCATCGACCCATCCTCAAGGCATCCGCATTCTTCTCCATGCGTTCGGACATGAAGGTGAAGCCTCCGAGTCTATCACCATCGAAACACATGAAGCGAAGGGGTGCACATGTGTGCACCCCTTCAAAAAGAAAAACATAACGGAGCTTGACCACCTGAACAGAATAGAATAGACTACTGATCTTGACCACCTGAACAGAATAGAATAGACTACTGAGCTTGACCACCT